GGGATGAAGGGGTCGGGCTGACTGAGGCCCCTGCGGCCCACTCCTGTCCTTTAGCACCCCATTACCCCAAATCATTGGCTCTCAGGGGGGCAGGAAGCACCGCTGCTTACCTCAGACCATGTCCATCTTGAGGTGTATATCTTTGTGTTTGTTCTCTTTTGAGACAGGTCTCACTATATAGTCCAGTCTGGCCTCAAACTCTCTGTAAACCTGCCTCAGCCTCCCAAGTGCTGGGATTGCCTGTGTGTGCCACTGTGTGGAATATAGGCTTAACTATACTTTTATTTTTCCCATTTCCATCATAAGCATAATATACATGACCTGCAGAAAAATCTAAAAATTACAGAAAAGCTGGATGCAGTGGCATCCAATCCTGGCTACTTGGGAAGCTGAGTCAGGAGGGTCAGGAGTTCAGGACCAGCCTGGGCAACATAAGGAGGCTGGTCTCAGGAAAGAAATAAAAACTACACAGAGATAGAAGAATGGGAATCACCTGTAGTGCCCCCATTGGAAGAGGAGCACACGGTCCTGGGAGGGCAGTTCTGTGCACACCACCTCCTGCTCTCCAGCACTGTGGCTCTGAGCTGGATCAAGAGACAGAGGGTGTGTGGTGGAGGGTGGTGGGCGCTGCCTGCTCTGAATTGAGCTGATTTCTCACGGTCTCCCCTCTCTGAGCATTTCTTTCGATCATTCCGCATCCAGTCTTTTAAAGTCGACATGGGATTGAATACAGGTTCCAGAAGAAATATGTTTTGAAGTAGGGCCGTGACCATCAATTCTTGCCAATGGGTGGTTTGTAATTAATCATTCCCTATTAGAAAGAAAAAAAAAAAATCAGTGACTCAGTTTGAGAGTCAGAAAACCATTACTCAAGTTCCTTGGCAGAGGAAATGGCCATTATGTTGCTCCCTGCAGCTCTGCTTTTGTGGAAGAGGAAAAAAAAGTCTTTTCATTTGGTGTTTCCCTGAGCTGCCGCAATGCTTTGGCCATTGTCAGCGAGTGCAGGCACAAACAGGCTCTGCCATTGTCCAGTGGTCACTGGGTGTGCAAGAGCTTCCATCCAGCTGGCGCGGGGGAACGGCCGTGGTGCCTTTGCCCTGGAGCCGGCAACGGCAGGAGAGGACGAGAGAGCTCCCTTTGGCTCCAGACTCCTCCCTGCCTCCTCTGTGTCTCTTACCTTGAAACCTGCTCTGGTCCCCAGGCAGGGCCTGCCCATCACACACCACCAGGGCCACCCCTTGGGCCACTGTGTCCCCTGGGAATGATGCTCCTGGGAGATCTTGTCCCTGTGGCTATCTCTCAGGTGCCCTTGATTAAACAAGCATGTATTAAGCATCTACTGAGCTATCTGGTGCATGGCTAGAAGGAGCTTCCAGTCTTACAGGCCAGGTTGGGGTGGGGCTCAGGATAGAGTCATGCGTCACTCAATGGCAGGAACATATTCTGAGAATGTGTCATCAGGCGATCTTGCCATGTGATCGTTATAGAGTTACACCAACCTGGATGGTACAGGTCAGTTCCTTGGTGTGGCCTCTTGATTCCATGCAGAGAGATAAGAAACTGGGCCAGCATAACACGGCATGAATTTGGGGGGAGGGGACGGGGTCTCTGCTAAGTTGCCCAGGCTGACCTTGAACCTGTGATGCTCCTGCATCAGCCTCCTGAGTAGCTGGGGTTGCTGAGTAGCCTGTGCCACTACCCACAGCTAAACATTTTTTAAAATAAGAGTACGCTCTAAAAGTACATCGACACGCTTCTTATCATTATGAGATGTCATGTACTGTGCATGCATTTTCTCGCTCCTCACCATCCTTTAGTTTTTATGCTTTGGGCAGTGTCTCCAGTTCCTACAAGTTCATAATTTGTGCATGAACTGGATATCTGCTCCAGGGTGATCCTGATAGCCACTTTACGTGGTGGAAAATGGGAAAGTGAAAATGTTATTGTAGTAATTAGGAGAATGGAGAGGTCACGCTTCCCTCTGCAGAGGGACAGCAGGATGGGGGCTGGGCTGGCAAACTGCTGCCTCCATCAGGTGCTCACAGGACCTTACAGGTCAGGCGGGGCTCAGTTCTGGAGAGGGACACATGCTAAGACCAGCACTGTCACTCTTTGGGAAGCTCCAGGGGAAGTGTGCCGCAAGTTGGTAGTCGTACTCTTGGATGTGGCAGAACACTGGGAGCAGCCCCAGGTTCCCTCTGTGGGAATCACACAATGGAGTATTATAGAGCAGTGAAAATGAATGAACTCCAGCTGCATGTAATGAACCATAGACACGTATGAATGAGAAATCTCTGCCACCAAAAGACGATATAGAGACCGTTTACATCAAGTGAAGTTAAGACAAATATAGGGACCCATGGTTAGTGAACTTACTTCTTAAAGTAATTGTATAGATGGGAGGCTGGAGGCTGGGGGAGTCCAGAGGGAGTTTCAGAGGTGTCAGTGATGCTAGCTTGTTTGCTTTTCCTTCCCTGTTTTTCTTTGTTTGGTACTGGAGGTGGAACCCAGGGCCTCATGTATGCTAAGCAAGTATTCTGCCACTGATATATGTTCCCAACCCGTTTTTTGCTTTTGTATTTGTAGTCTGGGAATTAAACCCAGGGATCTCTGAGCTACAGCTCCAACCCCTTCTAATTTTTCTTTTTTTCAAGATGAGGGTTCACACAGTGACCCAGGCTAGTCTTGAATTTGTAATCCTCCTGCCTCAGCCTCCACAGCAGCTGGGATTACAGGTGTCTTCCACCATGCCTGGCTATGATGGTATGGTGCTGGTTTTTAGGTTAGTGGGAGCTCCTGAGTGTTCTGTGCTTCATAACTTTTATGAATGTGGCATTTTAATTTGCAGATCTTGAATGTTATGCAATACATTTGAGAAACAGTGCACTGCTAGAAATGTACCGTCAAAATTTGTGTATGAACCCTGCTGTAAGGAGGGCTTTTTATGATTCTTTGAAGCCTTCTGGGGACAGGAGTCTCCCTGTCACTGCTCTCAGTGAATGTGGACTTCTGGGAAGTGGCTTTGCTGAGGTAGAGGGGCTCCATTGTCCCCCACACCACCTCCCCTAGCTCCTTGGCAGCAGTGAAGTTCTCAGATTCTCCATGGGCAGGGGCTGCCCGAGGCCACGTCCCGCTTCCTCACTAGTGCCGGCTCTCAAATGCTGACTGAACGTGCCAGTGGGACCAGAGGGGCCTAAGGAACCTACTTGAACTTACCTGGCTCCGTGGCGACAGTCCTGTCCAGGGCTCTGGTGGGGAAGAGAGAAAAGCTCTAGGCTGTGGCCTGGACTTGTCTGTCCTTTCACTATCGGCCTCAGAGCAGAGGGGGTGGGGAACTCAGGCTCCTAGGCAAAACAAGGAGGAAGTTTGAAGGGCATCTGGTCGCCCAGGCAGGGCCTGACACCAGGCCTGCGCTGTCTCTGTCCTTTGATACCGTGTCCCTGTCCCAGCACCATGGCCAGTGGTGTCAGGACAGCCAGCTTCCTGGCCTCGAGGGGCTATGGCCCACCGTGGAGCTGCTGGGCTTTGCTCCGCGCTCTGAGAGCCCACTTGGATAGGATGGGTGGGAGGACAGGCTGCCAAGCATGAGATGCGGTCTTCCCAACGAGGAAGCCCTGTGGGTCAGAGAGACACACGCGCTGTCCTCAGACACAGCACAGGGAGGCAGGCCAGGCGCTCAGACAGCAGCTGGCCATTCTGAAATCTCCCACCAGGTTTACTGTTGCTGCTTTAACACATAGTGACACGTTAGGTCTGAAGGACCAAGTGCGCTTAAATGAAACCTGCCTCTGCTCGCGCGGCTGGTGGGATGAACTTAATTGAGAAGTTAATAAATCAGTCCAAGGTAGCTTAGCTAATTTCTCCGTGAATCTGTGAATCTATAACCTGTACTTAAATCTGTACTAAAAAAAAAAATGTATTTGTTCCTTTAATCTTTTTTTTTTTTTTTTTTTTTTTTTTGGAATGGGAGATAAAACTCATGACCTTACGCTTGCCAGGCAGGCTCTTATGCCACTGAGCTATATCCCCAGTCCCTGTTCCTTTAATCTTTAATCGCCTTTTCCTTGAGCACATACAATTTTTTTTCATTTTTCACTTTTACTTCAAGTTGGCTCCTAGAATAAAAATAGCATTGCCCCGGATATTTAATAACTAGATGCAGCGTCCTACAGGTACCCCAGACCGGAGTCAAACAGCGTGATTTACTTCATAGTTGTACAGCTGTCTTATTGGTGACCTTGGGCACATCTCCTGATTCTTCTGTGCCTCTGTTACTATCTGTAAAATGGGTCCATAAAGGCCCTGTAATCGTGATGCTTCCTGAGTACTTGTGAATGCTGGGAGTCCCGCTTGGGCCCTGACATTCATTCCTAGGTTCATGCATTCATCGATGCATTCATTCATGCTGCATTTATCAGGTGCTCAGGGAGCCCCTGCCATGTGGCAGGCAACACTGGAATCTAACAGTGTGCCAGTTCCCGTGGTGCTCCGAGTCTTGACAGGAAGCTAGCCTCGGAGTCAGTAGTTGTATGGGTGCCATGACGGGCAAGGTGGCATTGAGTGGGGGCACCGAAGGGCTCTGGGGAGAGGGTGCTGAGGCTGAGACCTGAAATAGGAGACATTCTCGTGGGGAGCGGTAGGGGAGGAGCGGGTGTGAGAGGGGGACTGGGCCTTCTTCGGGGCTGGGTGGTGGGAGGCCAGGCCTCTGAAGTGGGCAGGGGCGGTGGAAGGCCCCCAGGGCCATGCACATGGCCCGGACTCCATCCTGTGGCAGCCAGAGACCCTGAAGGATTTTCAAGTCAACGGGATGAGTGGCTAGATGGTGGCTTGACAAGGAGGCTCCTGCAGGCCGCTGTCCTGGTCCAGGCAGAGGAGGACCTGGCCCGGGCCGTGGTGGCCTGCAGAGGTGTTCAGAATGGAGAACTCTGGCTCTCCCAGATCAGAAACCAAGTCCCTCGCAGGGTGCTGTGGGCCTTCTGAGTGCCGCCTTTCTCCCTTAGACCTGCCAAGAGGTGTGCTGACCAGCCTGCCGGGAGCCAGTGTCTCCCTGCACTGCCCTGTGAAGGACCAGAGAGACAATGCCAGCGTCTACTGGGTGGTCACCAACGCACACCAGAGGTGGGCCAGCGTGGGGCAGAGGCTGCTGCTGAGTTCGGTGCAGCTCAGTGATTCCGGCAACTACTCGTGCTACGTGAACGGGCACCGGGCCGGGTTGATGCGTCTGCTGGTAGAAGGTGAGTGGTGGCCCCTCCCCGGAAGAGATGTGCCCCCGGTGTCCCAGAAGGATTGGCTGCCCTTCTTTCCTTGGTCCAGAATTCTCAGGGAGAGGTTTCTGCTGGCGCCAGTGAGATCTGGAGGGGCTTTCTGGTGGGTGGGGAGGGATGTCCGGCCGGCCTTGTGGGGCGCTGGTCACTAGTGTGGGGCCTGGGGCCAGGCGGCTTAGGTTTGAGTCCTGCTCCCTCACATCAGCTAAAATTCTCAGCCCTTCAGATTCCTCCAGCAAAATAAAGTTGCTTTTCTCATCTTACCTTAGAGTGTTGCGCAGTTGTGTGTGTGTGTGTGTGTGTGTGTGTGTGTGAGAGAGAGAGAGAGAGAGAGAGAGAGAGAGAGAGAGAGAGAGAGACTGAGGCCTGTACTCAGGGCTTTTGCACTGAACCACATCCCCAGCCCTGTTTTAGTTGCCCAGGCTCGGCTTGAATTTGTGGTTCTTCTTCAGTCTCCGTAGTGCTGAGATGACCAGTGTGCACCACCACGCCCTGCTGGATATTATCATTAGTATTACGTTAGCATCAGTTACTTTTATACATATGGACGCTGAATGGAGGCTGAGACCTGCCCAAAGCTGCACAGCCTGGTCTGTGTGGTTCCATGGTTTTACGTTCAGGCATCGCCCTCTGGCCTCGGTAGACAACAGATTTCGAGGTGTTGCTCGCTCCCTTCCCCTGGATGTGTTCCCACCCTGACCCCCGGACAATACCTCTTTGTTCCGGCTCAGGAGCTCTGTGTGTGGCTGAGTTTGGCCCGCAGGCAGTCCTGGGCAGGACTGTCAGGGCAAGCTTCCCCCTCAGGGAGGCCTGCGGCTCTCAGCCTGCTGTGCTGTGCTTTCAGCTCCTCCGGAGGAGCCAAAATTCTCCTGCTGGCGGAAGAGCCTCTTGGGCAGTGTTTTCTGTGAGTGGAGTCCTCGGAGCGCCCCATCCCCGATGACCGAGGCGGTGCTGTTGGTGAGGAAGCTGTGAGTAGTGGGCAGGGCATGTGTTTGCATCTCTCCGTCCTCACTGAGCCCCCCAGTGCGGTGGCAGGGTTCCCAGAGGGACCTGGTGGGCTGGGCAGGCCAGGGATCCCAAGACTTCCTCAGGAGGAAGTCACTCCTCCGGGTAAGGAGGGAATGAGAGGGCTGTGCTCACCTGTGCTAATCACTGTGCTCGGGGAGGTGGGTGGTGTTTTTCTCACTGCATAGATAAAACGGGTGCACAAACAGTTTCCACAAGTGGATTAATTTGTTTAAGGTCGTCTAGCTAGTAAGCGGCTCTGCTGGGAATACAACTCCAGGTTGCCCGATTCCCTGTCAAGCCTAAAGGTTTTGAGTATTGCTCTGAAGGAACTGCTAATGGTCCTGGGATTGGGAAATGCCTTGACCCTGGGAACCTATTGTGCTTTTCCATTACAAAGGCAGGAGACTGGCAGCGGTAAGAGCTCGCCTGTAATCCCAGGCAGGAGGACTGCCCTGAGTTGAAAGCCAACCTAGGCTATCTAGTGAGACCCTTTCTCAAAAAAAAGAAAGAAAACAAAAAGTAGCAAGATGGGGGAAACTGCATGGGAGAGCAGTGAGGCTAGAGTCTCAACTGCCTGGGGTCCCTGTCCTGCCACTAGAAGGTGACATAAAGTGGGGGACCTGGGATGACATAAGCCACAGAGAGAGAGAGGAGGTAGACAGTGCTGAGAACAAACCCACCTCTGCTTTTTTTTTTTCAAATTTTTTTTGTGGTACTGGGGCTTGAACTGAGGGCATGTTCAATGAGCTATGTCCCTAACCCCTTTTTTATTTCTTATTTTGAGACAGGGTCTTGTTGAATCTCTAAATTGCCCATGCAGGGCTCAAATTTGTGATCCTCCTGCCTCAGCCTCCCCAGAGTGCTGGGATATTTCTGTTTTCAAATGAGAACACACAGGGGCTGGGGATTTAGCTCAGCAGCACAGTGCCTGCCCGGCAAGCACAAGGTTGTGAGTTCAATCCCCGGTACCAGAAAAAAAAAAAAAAAAATGAGAACACGCAGACCAAGAGGTTGGATAATTTACTCAAAGTCATTAAAGCTGCTAAGAGCTGGTAGCATAGAGCTGGGATGTGAGCCCTGGGATCAGACTTCTGTGCCGAGCTCCTATGGCTGCTCTGACACACCCCCCCCCCAACTCCTGGGGACAGTGCAGGAACTGAGGGACAGCATTCCCTGGTTTGTGTCCACAGCCAGACAGACTTTATGGAAGAATCCCAGGAGCGGTGCCAGTATTCTTGGGAGTCCCGGAAGTTCTTTTGCCAGTTGCCCGTTGCGGAGGGAGACGCATCTATCCATGTAGTGTCTGTGTGCGTGGTCAACAGCGCTGGAAGCAGGATCAGTAACAGGGAGACGCTGCAGGTCAATAAGATCTGTAAGTGAGCTCCTCCCCTGCTGTGGCTGCTTCCTTGGCTTTTGCTTGACAATTCTTGGAGGGCAGGGAAGCGGTGGCTGAGGCGGGAGGTGAGCTGGAGCCTGTCAGGCGCTGTTCACCAGGAGGTCTGTCTATAACGGACAAGTGTCCAGTTGAGGCCTGCATGGGGAGTGGGGCAGGGGAGGGGGTCCGCACAGGGGTCTGCGGAGCCTTCCTGGGCTCCCCTGTGTGCCGTGAAGAGCCCTGCTCCCCCTCCCACAGTGAAGCCCGACCCACCTGCCAACATCACCGTCACCGCTGTGGCCGGACATCCTCACTGGCTCAATGTCACCTGGAAGGACCCCTATTCCTGGAACTCAGACTTCTACAAGCTCCACTTTGAGCTCCGATACCGGGCTGAGCGGTCAGAGACGTTCTCAACCTGGATGGTAAGTTCATCCCTCCTGAGCGGAACAGCGCCTCTCAGCACGTGGGTGTAGCAGAAACGATACTAGAGAAGAAGAGACAGGCTGTAGCCCTGCTTAGCACCGTGCGCCCCGCTGGCCTGGATGGCCTTGGTCATCTCATCTGTGAGAGCCACAGTGCCAGGCCAGTCTCCTCTTCTGGGGCCCTTGGCCACTGTGAGTGTGACAGAGATTTGGTAGGTAAGCGTGTCCAGGGCTGTGGCTCTAAAGTCCCGGGTGGTGGTGGGGACGTACAGTATCAGCCTGTGTGGCCCGGAGAGTGACCTCAGCTCCAGAGCCTGCAGAGTGGGGCCAGCTGGCAGGGCGGGGTGGCTGCAGCACTTCTCCCGCCTTCCCGGCATCCTGTGCGTCTATCCTCAGATGCCGAACTCGCAGTACCAATGCATCATCCCGGATGCCTGGCGTGGCCACAAGCATGTGGTGCAGCTCCGGGCCCAGGAGGAGTTTGGGACCGGCTCCTGGAGCGAGTGGAGCCCTGAGGCCAGAGGAACCCCCTGGTCAGGTACTTCAGCAGGTACCAAGGGAGGCAGCGCGACTTGGCTTTGTCAGTGCCTCAGCAACCCAAGCCAGTGCCTAAAACAGCAGCCACTTACTTGAGAAGGGTTTTAGAAGCTTGAGCTTCTAAAAATAAGTCAGGTAGCAGCTCATCTGTGGTTCTGGGCTGTTCCCAGGGCAGCTGCTGCCACCAAATTGGTGGGGCCAGGGTGGCCTCACACACAGGGCTAGTGGCGGAGTGGCTGGTGGGCCTGGTTCTTCTGCCTTCTCATAGGCCTCGGGCAGCAGGGTGGGGATGGGAACCTCACAGCAGCTGGAAGGGAGGAGCTGCATATTTAATCTGTAGCAGGTACTGACATACTTCACTTTTAAGGAGATGATGAAGATAGTAACAATTGCTTGGGGGATTAATAAAATTAGCGTGTTTGTGATAAAACAACAAATTCCAGAAAAATAGAAAGGTAATAATTATGACCAGTATTTTTACCACCTAGGGAAAAACCAGTGGGAACATTTTAGTGTGGTTCTTTTTTCTAGGTACATTTGTGTGTGTATTATATTGTAAACATTTTCCGTGTTATCAAATGTTTTGGGAAATGTATTACTTAAAAACTGCATGAGTAAATAGGAGTTTTTTGTTCTGTTTTGTTTTGTTTTATTCTTGAGTCAGGGTCTTGCTGGGTAGTTCAGGCTGGCCTTGAACTCACTATGTAGCCCAGGCTGGTCTCAAACTCCTGGCAGTCCTCTTGCCTCAGCCTCCTGAGTGCTGAGATTATAGGTGTGTGCTACCACACCTAGCCAGGAGTTTTTAATTTATAATTCTGACGTGTGTGTCTGTGTGTGTAACTGGAAATAGAACCCAGGGACTTTGCACTCAGCTACATCCCCAACCCTTTTTTAACTGTTCATTTAGAGACAGGGTCTCTCTAAATTGCTAAGTTGCCCAGGCTGGGTTTGAACTTGCGACCTTCCTGCAGTGCTGGGATTACATATGTGTGCCCACTACACTGAGCTAACTTCAAAAAATGTTTACCAATCAGTGTATCCCATGGCTAAGAGGTACCTGAGGACTTATGGTCCTGAGCAGGGGCCTGTGCCCGCCTTTCCACTTCTTGCTCTGCTTTCTGGAGGAAGCTGCTTGACTCATTTTGTTCGGCTGGTGCCCTCCTTAGCTCTAAATGACAAACCTATGTGGTTGCCTTTTTTTTTTTTTTTTTCCTGATAAAACCACTGAGACGTTATCTTCTGACACTCTACTATGAAAGATTAGGATTTAGCAGACCTAGAATTCAGGAACCTCCCTGACCACCACCAGAGAGGGCTTCCCCAGCCTCTCCTTAAATGCCTCCCTGTCCCCAGCAGGCTGTTGCACGGTTCCCAGCGTTCTTTTTGTAGGTGGCTTCCGGGCTCACTGTACGCTCAAATCTCTCTAGCCCTGCAGCAGAACTGAACTGTATTATCAATCATTCTTTAGTACTTGGCAATTAAAAAGAATAAACTGACATTCACTGGCTGCATGCAAGTCCATAAAAAGGAAAAGAAAAATGACTTCCGTGGCTTGGTCCCATTCTTATCCTTGTCACTGTCTCCCGGCCCTGACCTCAGGGAGAACACAGACTTGGTACAGAGGCCGCAGAGCCCTCATATTGGATGTGGTGGACCTTCAGCCTCTGGGCTCTGCAGTGCGGGGTCCTCGTCTTTCCTGCGCTGGGCAGAGTCAAGGCTGGGGCTTGGGTTTCCACTATGTGCCAGGAATAGAGTTGGCTTTCTCCTTGTCCTCTTCTCAGAAGTTCAGGCTGGCCTTGAGTTCACTTTGTAGCCTAAGCTGGCCTTGAACTCACAGAAATTCTCCTGCCTCTCCTGCCTCCCAAGTGCTGAGATGACAGGCATGCGCCATGAGGCCTGGCCGGGAAGAGCATTTAAATCACCCAGGACACCCTTCAGGCTAGATTGTGTTAACCTGCCCATGGTTTTCTTTGATTTGCATACACCTGAACCAAGACACATTGATTATCTGAATGCTGAACATCAGCTTGGTCTTGGAGGCTTTGTAAGGGAAGAGTTCGTGACATCTTATCCATGGAAGTGTTCCCACACAGAGCAGCACCTGCCTTCCCTTCTAGCCTGATCACTTAGATTAGCCAGTCACTAGCAGCCTTAAGGAATTGCATTTTGTTAGAAAGTTCTTTCTTTTAAAAATCTTTAATTGCCGGGCGTGGTGGCACCTGTCATCCCAGCACTTGAGAGGCTGAGGCAGGAAGATCACAGCAAGTTCTAGACCAGTCTGGGGTACGTACTGAGTTCAAGGCAAACCTGCCTCAACACCTCCCCCAATTAAAAAAATTGTAAAATGTATGTAACATAAAATTTACTGTTTGCACCATTTTTTGGCATATGGTTCCATGTCATTAAGTACTGTACACTCACATTGCTCTTTGGCCTCCACCCCCGTCTATCCGCAGGGCTTTACCTCTCGTGGAGCTGAGACTGTGCCCTTTAAACAGCAATTCCCACCCCCCTAGCCGGCCCCCTCCATCCCCATTTTACTCTTTGCCTCTGTGTTTGACCGCTGTAGGGTACTTCGGATAAGTGGGATCGTATGGGATTTATCCTCTGTGTCTGATTTATTTCAGCTAGCATAAGTCTCCAAGGTTCATGAATGTAGTGTGTATGTCAGAAATTCCTCCCTTTTAAAGGTCAGTGAATAGTCTCTTGTAGAAACACACCATGTTTCATTTATCCGCTCCTGTCAGTGGACGCGTGGGTTGCTTCTGCCTTTGGGTATTGTGAAAAATGCAGCTATGGTCATGAGCGTCCAAATATGTATCTGAGTCCTTGCTTTCAGTTCTTTTGTTTATATGCCCAGAAGAGGAATTGCTCCCTCATATGGTAATTCTATTTTTAATTTTTTGAGGAACTGCCATACTGTTTTTCACAGTGACTGTACTTTTTTTTTTTTTTTTTTTTTTTTTGGCATTACTAGGGATTGAACCCAGGGCCTTCACCCTGAGCTATATCCTCAACTGTTGTTATTTTTTTATTTTGAAACAGGATCTTACTAAGTTGATCAGTTGCCCAGGCTGGGCTGGAACTTGTGATCTTCCTGTCTCAGCCTCCCAGAATGCTGGTATTATGGGCATGCACCACCATTATGGGCAATGTTGCACCACCTTGCTGGCAACACCATTTCACAGAGTTCATAAAGTATCCAAGTTCTCCATATCCTTGCTAACACCAGTTATTTTCCTCTTTTCTCCCCCCCACCCACTGTCTTTTCCATAGGGTCTCCCATGTTGCCTAGGTGGGCATCCAGCTCCTGGGCTAGGTGGCCCTCCTGCCTCCTGAGCAGCTGGGACTCCAGGCCTGCACCACCACTCCTAAGTGTGTGTGTGTGCGCGCGCGCGCGCGTGTGTGTGTGTGTGTGTGTGTTTGTGTGTAGAACTGGTGATTGAATACCAGGAGTGCTAAACTGCATCCCCATCCCTTTTATTTTGAGACAGGGTCTCCCCAAGTTGCCTGGGCTGGGCTCCAGGCTGCAGGTATGTGCCATTACACTCAGCTCATATCATTCGATGGTGCTTGTGTCTGAGAACACCTGTGTTTCCAAAGAAGATATACAGTAGTTCTTTAGATCCTGTTCTCTCCGGCCAGCCGGTCTGTAGCCATCCTTGGGGTTGATTTGTTATCTCACTGTGGCTTGGTTTGCGTTTCCCTAGTGATTAGGAATGCTGAACTCCTCCTGTGCTTCCTGACCGGGTATCCTGGGTATCCTGTCCCAGTCAAAAGCCCTCACTACTGCCAGCCCCACTTTTCCCAGCGATGCTTGCTGTCCTTGGGGTGACCCTTGCCGAGCTCTGGACTGAGAGGGATGAGCCCTGTGTGTGGGCTCCTCTCGGCCTGTTGCATGGGATGGTTCCTTACCTGTCTGCTCACCTGACCCTGAATCTGGTCTCATTTGTGGAAGGCCCTTGTTGCTGGTTCCTGCCTCTTGGAGAGCGGCCTCCACCTGGCCAGCTCTGGGTCCCGACTCTGGCTTCCTGGCCGTGGGTCATGAGCCGCAACGACCATGCGGCTCAGCAAGAACGAGAGTTGAAGCCGCCGAGGTGGCTGGCTCCCCTCCTGCATTCATGGTTGGGGAGGCATCTTTATACCCAGTGTGAGCGTCTGCTCCCTCTGCACTGAGGGCAGCGCCAGAGGAGCTTGGGTGAGCTGAGGCTGGATGGGTTTAGGGTAGAAAGAGGAGCCGTTCTGGAAAGAGAGGGAGGCTGGTGTGACTGCCTGTGCAGCCCGGCCGTCTGGGGAGTGTCTCTTCTCTAGGCCTGCATCAGTAGGCTCCCTGAATCAGGATCTTCAGTCCCCAAAGCCCACACAAAGGGACCCTCAGTTCCAGTCCAGTTGGGAGGGGAGTGACCCTTGGAAGACACGGGGAACCACACTGGACCTAGAAATCTGATTGGACGATGTCTTAGTTACTTTTTCTCATTACTGAGACAAAATGTCCAAGACTCAAAGTTAAAAGAGGAAAGGTTTATTTAGCTTAGTTTGTAGAAGTTTCAGTTTATAGTTGGCTGGCTCCAAGGCAGGGTGGCATGGCAGCGGGCATCACAGAGGAGACAGTCATGGCATGCCAGGCAGAAGGCAGCAAAGCAGGAAAGAGGCAGCAAGTGACAAGCGACCATAGCATCTCTGTGTCTCTTACATTCTATCTAGGCTACATGTCCTTAGGGCCAGTAGCACTCACACCCAGGGTGGGCCTGCTCTTTATCCACTCCCAGAACTATGCCAAACCAATCAGTGGACTAATCTGGTAATCACACACCCTTAATCCCATGGTCGTATACCCTAGATCCAGTCACTACTGAAAAGCCCCACTTATGACCACATGAAGCTTTGGCAGGAGATATATATATATACACATATATAATAACAGATGAGATTGGCAAAGTTAATTCACCTCTTGGAGCCTCAGTCTTGTCATCCGTAAAGTGGGGATAATAGGATCTGTCTTGTACTTTACAT